GGCGGGGCGGCGCTTTTTTGTGCTGTAAGCGGCACATTTCCCTGTAGTAAAGGTCTGTCAGTGCTGATCACCGATCAAGCCCCATGAGCCAGCTCAATAATATAAGATAATGATAGCTGGGTTCCCCCCCCGCCCCACAGTTCTCAGTGCCTTAAGTATACGGCTAACTCCTGCAAAAGCATCATCTGGAGTTTAACTTCAAAAAACTTACTTCTTATATTAACATTCACAGCACAATCAACTTTGGCAAGAAAGGCCCTTTAATGTATAGACACTTAATATATCCATTTAAAGTTAAAAAAAATTGCTCTTACTTTATAAGGGCTGCATATTAATTCATTCTATAGAAATCTCAATGGAACACAGCAATCATTGTGAAAGCCAGCATAGTCATATGATTGCAGTGACTTTCAAAGTAATAAAGATTTACTATTTATTATACATTGCTGCCAGAGGACTGTATTTACACACACACACACACACACACACACACACACACACCAACCAGTTTATTCTTCTAGCTAGAATGAGCCTTTAAGTGAAATAAAGTGATTTTTTGTTAAAGTGGCTTTGTGATACTTTTCAGGTTTTGCACACTTATTTAAAGCAATTATCTTCATGAACTACATACAGAGAAATGGTCAAGCCCTTCAGCCCCCAAATATACCAACACTGAGCAGTACAATAAGAACTTTAGGGGCTAGATCTTCAACTTTTGTGAACTATCATCAACCAGGACCAACTCTAGGTTTTTTGCCGCCCCAAGCAAAAAAAATTTGGCTGCCCCCCCCCCCACCCACACACACACTTTTTTTGGTTTTTACACGTTTGCACATTGCAATGTTTTGTTTTGTTTTGTTTTTGACTGTTTAAAATTAAAAAAAAAATGAAAATAGAGAATTTGTAGTTAATGAAATAAAACAATTTCCTACTAGTGTGCTCATTTACTCACTGGGCCGGCCATGGAGTGAGCTGGGCTTTGTCTACCTAAGCAGAGCTAGGGCTCTGCGCTGGAGTCCTTGGCATAAGCAGGACGTCAGCGCCAACCCCAGGGCTCATGTGGTCCGTGCGGGTCGGACCAAGTCACGCTGCTGGCAGGCTACCCAGTCTGGCTGTCACTGCCGAACAGCCAGAGAGGCCTGGAGCTGTGTGGGAGACACCGTACAGCTCTGCCTCCTGTCTCTCCTTCCCCGCGAGCACGCCCGGCGGGTTGGCGCTGCCCTCCAGAGCTGGGCGTCACAGCCCCGTACCAGGAGCAAGTAGCGGGCATTGGAGGGGGTGAGAAGGGGGCTGCCTGGTCCCTCCAGCCAGGGCACAATCACCTCCGCTCCCTGTGCGCCAATCCCAGTCTGAAATGGTTGTAGCAGCCCTTCCCACGGTCCCACGTCTTGCTATGCAGCGCAGGGAGGGGAGGAGGCTCTGAGAGTAGGGCTGCGACCCGGCTCCCACACTGGCAGCGGACCCCGGGGATCCTGGCTTGGGGCAGCCTCAGCAACACCCCAGAATCCCGGGCGGTCACCCCGCGGCGTGGCCAGGGACAGAGCCAGCCGGGCGGGGGGCACCACCTGTAGCTCTCACATGGAGCGAGCTGGGGTGGCTGTGGGGTTCAGCTGCCGGGGTCCAGGGCAGAGCAGCCAACGGCTGGTGATCGCAGGGCAGCGTGCCCGGGCCTCCCGCTTCTCGGGACCCCTGCGAGCTGGCCGCAGGCTCGGCCTGCGCAGCGGCACGAGTTCGGCTCAGCCCGGGCTGCCACTCCCCTCCCCTCCCCAGGCAGGTGGCGGCACAGGGGGGAGGAGGCAGAGGAGGTGGAGGCGGAGACAAGCCGAGGAGGACCCCGCAGCCGGCGCTGGAGGAGCAGCCCACCCGGCCACCGGTTCCGCTGCCACCCCCTGCGCTCCATGACCAAGGCAGGGCCGCGCTACCGGCTCCTGCCTGAGGGGGGCTGGCCGCTGCCCGTGGGAGAGCGGCAGGGACACGCTCCCCACTGAGCCGGCTCCCCCTGCCCTGCTGCACAGCCCCGGCGGCACCCGGTCAGAGAACAACAGGACGCTCAGGATCCAGCCCAGGACACTGCCTCAGGTCGGAGCTGGGGCCCCAGCATTATGCCGCCCCTGGTAATTTGCCACCTCAAGTACCTGCTTGTTTTGCTGGTGCCTAGAGCTGCCCCCGTCATCAACGGAGGTACGACCTAAGAACATAAAATGGCCATAGGTTAGGCCAATGGTCCATTTAGCACTGTCTTCCAACAGTGGCCAATACCAGGTGCTTCAGAGGGAATGAACAGAACAGTAGGGTTGGCAGGCGTCCAGTTTTCAACTGGAACACCAGGTCGCAAAGGGACCCTGGTGGCTCCAGTCAACACTGCTGACCGGGCTGCTAAAAGTCTGGTCAGTGGTGCAGCGGGGCTAAGGCAGGTTCCCTGCCCTGCCTCTGTGCAGCTACCGGAAGCAGCCGATAGGTCCCTGTGGCCTCTAGGCACGGGGGCGGCCAGGGAGGTTCCATGCACTGCCCCCACCCCAGCGCCGGCTCCACAGCTCCCTTTGGCCAGGAAAAGTGGCCAATAGGAGCTGCGAGGCTGGTGCCTGGAGCCCACACTCCTCATCCCCTCCTGTACCCTAACCCCCTGCCTCAGCCCTCAGATCCCTCCTGCACCCCAAACCCCTCATCCCTGGCCCCACCCCAGATCCCACACCCCCAGCCAGAGTATACACCCCCTCGCACACCTCAACCTGCTGCCCCCGCGCTGAACCCTCTCCCACACTCTGAATCCCTCAGCCCCAGCCCAGAGACCCCTCCTGAACCACAAGCCACTCATTTCTGGCCCCACTCTGGGGGGGCCAGAATCTGCACCCCCAGCCGGAGCCCGCACCCCAACCCCTGCCCCAGCCCAGTGAAAGCGCGTGAGGGTGGGGGAAGCGAGCAATGGAGGGGGGAGAATGTAGTGAATAGGGGCAGGGCCTCAGAGAAGGGGCGGGGCAAGGGGGTTCAGTTTTGTGTGATCAGAAAGTTGGCAACCCCAAGAACAGGTATTCATCAAGTGACCCATCCCTTTTTGCCCATTCCCAATTTCTGTCAAACAGAGGCTAGGGACACTTCAGAGACACTTTACATCTGCAGAGAATCCGGCCCTAGAGCTGCATAGAATCCACCCCACAGGACATGGATCCCATACCACGCCACTTTTTTTTTTTAAGGCGCAGATTGCCATTATTATGCACGCACCTGCATACAAACAAAAAAATTCTTTCAGGAAAAAAAGTTACATATGGCAAGGAATCTAGAGGAAAGAACTGGCTTGCTCACAAGATCATTTAAATATCATTGGCAAACCCCAAAAGCTCAGTAAACAGTTAAGGCCCAATGATACTTGTGACCCAGTAGTCTCTATCATACAAGATAGGAGCTTTTGCAACCAGGGGCTGCTAACAGGGAGTTTCGCAAGGGAGTTTGGAAGGGGAGCAGGAAGGGAACGTGGGTCCCTTGCCGGTTCTATCTTAAACCCTTTATTCCCCTTAAACCCTATAGCCCAAACTACATCAAAACTTCTTGCTTTAAACAACCCCTTCATTAACTAGGAGAAAATGCAGGCAGAAGCCCAGCTGCAGAGTGGGGGCTATCCAGTTTATTGCACTGAGTGTAGCATGTATGATTACCTGCCCTGTGGGCGGGTGGCGTATGTGTGCATTCGGTGCAAGGAGCTCCTGGCCCTCAGAGACCACGTACGGACTCTGGAGGCAAGGGTGGCGGAACTGGAGGAGCTCAGGGAGGCAGAGAGGTATGTTGATGAGGCTTTCTGGGACACTGTAGAATTGTCCCACCTCCGGTCAGACAGCCCCTGCGCTGTTGAGGAGGATGAAAGGCCCAGGGAAGCAGAGCAGTCAATGGGAGCAGAGGGAAACCTTCCCATAGTTGGGACCCTCCATCCAGATGGTGCTGGGGTTGCCTCTCACACTGAGGTTACCTCTCCGGGGGAGGGAACTCCAGTTGCTAGGAAAAGGCAGGTATTAGTATTGGGAGATTCGATCATTAGAAACGTAGATAGCTGGGTTTGTGATGACCGGGAGAACTGTATGGTGACATGCCTGCCTGGTGCAAAGGTTGCGGATCTCTCGAGGCATCTAGACAGACTTATGTCTAGTGCTGGGGAGGAGCCAGTGGTTGTAGTACATGTAGGTACCAATGACATAGGGAAGGGTAGGAGAGATGTCCTGGAGGCCAAATTTAGGCTGCTAGGGAAGAGACTGAAATCCAGGACCTCTATGGTGACATTCTCAGAAATGCTCCCAATTCCACGCGCA